TCTCAGGGGAAACAGTGAAGCAAGAAGGAAGTGATGCCTCATTTTTCAAGGGCAGATAGGAAAAGAACGATCAACCCTGAATTCCATATCTGGCAAAACTATCTTTCAAGATTAAAGATATTAGTGAAGCAAAACAAAAAGAACTTGTTGTTGCTCACCTGCCTTTAAGGAGTGGCTAAAGAAGGTTCTTTAAACTGAATGAAATGATGAAAGATTCTTGGAGCGTCTGGAAGGAAGAAAGAATGATGGAAAGGGAAGATGCCTGGGTACCATAGACGACCACAGTTGTGGGAGTTTGATAAATCATATTTGATGATTGAAGTTAAAAGTATACTATATGATATTCAAGACAGTGATATTTAAGAGGGAGGAACTTAAAGGAACCTAATTGGAAGTAGTCTTTCCACACTTCACTTAAAGTGGTAAAATGTCCATATCAGGAGACTGTGATATGTGTGTGTGTGTGTGTGTGTGTGTGTGTGTGTGTGTGTGTGTGTGTGTATGTTGTAATACTCAGAACAACCACCACAAATACTCAAAAACACAAGATAAATTAAGATGGAATCCTAAAAATGTTTACATAACCTGCAGTAAATAAAAGAATAACAGGAATGAGGAGACACAAATTCCCACTATCAGGAATGAAACAAGCTTTTAAAGGTAAATCTTGCAGCCATTGAAATGATAAGGGAATGCTACAAACAAGTTTATGTTGCTAAATTGGGCAAGTTAGATGAAATAGATCTATTTCTAGAAAGCCACAAATTACCAAACATCAAGCAAATGCAATAATTTGAGTAGACTTGTAATCATCAATGAAAATGATTTTGTAATTAAAAGACTTTCCCCCAAATCTCCAGGCTTAGATGGTTTCCCTGGAGAAGATTACCAGACATTTAATGGACAATTGACATACCTTAGTTACTCCACATCACTGGGACAGAATACCCGACACCCACAATTGAAGGAGGAGAGGTTTATTTTGGCTTTATTTAGTTTATTTAGTTTCAGTCCTTGCATGTTCAACAGCACACAAGGAAGGCCCTGGTGTGAAGAAAAATTGCTCACATCATGGAAGCCAGAAAGCAGGGTCTGAAGAAAGGGACCTGGGAGGCAGATGCAGCCCACCAGGCCAACCTGCATCGACCCACCTCACTTCCTAACATCCCATCCAGCTGTAGTGTCCCCCATGATTCAATCACCCTTCAAAGTTCTGCCTTTGAGCACATGAGGCTTTGGGGACACATCCAGATATAAACCATAACATGGTATCAGTTTTACCATATCTTTCTAGAGAGAGATGACACTTTTCAACTCATAAGACACAGGTTACCATGATACCAAAGCTTGACGAAGACAATGCAGAAAATGAAAACCCTAAAGCAGCACTTCTTATAACTTAAATGTCATGATCCTCAATGAGGTGTTAACCAGTAAGTACAAGTCGGCCTGATACAATAGGAATTTTATACCATAGCCAAGTTGGGTTTATTCTTGGCCGGCAGGCCAGACTCCACATTCAAAAGTCAAAGTAATTCAACATCCAAATAAGCTAAAGAAAAATCCTCTGATCACATGTTCAGTTGATGTGGAACAAGGATTTGAAGGGTTTAGCACCTCATCATTAAAAACTCTCAGCATTGAAAATAAAGGAGTATTATCCCAACTTGATAAAGAGCATCTACAGAATTCTTACAAACTAACAAATGTGCATTTCTCCAACTTTGTTTCTCCACTGACATATTTGTGGCCATTACTGTGTGATTTATCATTTAGTAGACTTTCTAAGATTTTTGGGCTGTTTGTAAGGTTTGAATGTTTTATTGCTACCTTGTATATTTTGAAACTTGGAAGAGAATGGATAGCCATAACATTCTGAATAATACTTTTTACTTCATTGTTTTTTGAAAAATACAAGTACTAAATGAGATGGATGGGAAATTCTTTTATGAGAACAATAAAGAAATTAAGCCTGTTATCAACTGGTAATAATTAAGCTGGTGCAATTTTGTGTAATTTTCTTTCATCATGGATAGTGTTATACTATTACACTGATTAATCTTGTATACAGTTGTCCCTCAGTATGCATGGGATTGGTCCAGGACCTTGGATACCAAAACCCAAGGATGCTCATGTCCCTCAGGAGGAGGAGGAAGAGGAGTAAGAAGGATCAAGATATATGTACTAATTCCCCATGACAAATGTATTATATATTGCAAACATATTAAAAAAGGAAAAAGAAAGGTATATTTCATAGCTTCTACACATATGATGCTTTATGTTATACTTTAAATCATACTTTAAGTCATCTCTAGATTACCTAAAATATGTAATACAGTGTAAATCCTAAGTCAATAGCTGTTTCTACTGTATTACTTAGGAAATTATGATGGAAACTCTGTACCTATTCAGTACAACCCCCCCTGCCGGAATTTTGATCATTTGGCTCCTTGATTGTGAAACTACATATGTAAAGGCTTCCTGTGTGTCTCTTCTTTCATTCTCCTTTGCTCTTACTGCTTTTTGTTTATTTTTGGTACCGGGGATTGCTGTTACTGTTAAGTCCATACTGTTTCAGTCACTTGACTTGCAATCTCAGTCATCTTGCCTGACTTCCTGTTTTGCCGGGTAAGAGGAAATGGCACAGGTTGTGCCTCTGTAGCTCTTTTTTCCTTTCCTCCAGTGATCTTTGAATCAGGTCATCAGTACCCTCTCAGGCCCTCTGCATAGGGTTCCCCTTTGCTGAACTCAAACTCATTTTGTACAGTTTCTGGAATATAAACACACACACACACACACACACACACACACACATATAAATTTTTTAACTACTGGTGATATAGTACTTTATTATTTTTTACTGGTACCATGGATTGAACTCAGTACTTGCACTTGCCAGGCAGGTGCAGCACCACTGAGCTACATTCCTGGCCTAGTACTTTATTATTATTATGAAAAAATTGACTTTTAAGTTTTTCCACCACACAAAGAAAAAAGATAACTATTTGAGTGTTGTAGTTAGGGTTTATGCAAAGGAATACATTAAATATGGCACACATAATTTATAGGATTATTTTGTGATATTTACCCAAAAAGTCAAATGCAAAGGAGTGCAAGAGATTAGCCACACACTAGAGGTCCAGAGAGTCCAGCCAAGGGCCAGGATTCCTCAGCAGTGAACCACACAAGGCCAGCTGAAGGCCTGGAGTCCGAGGCAGTGTCCTCCACGAGTCCAGCCAGTGGCCTAGAGCCCATGGCAGTGTCTCTTGCTTGTCTGTATTGTCTATGCTGCGGATCTTTATTGGGAAGGCCCAAAGGCCAATGGTGGAAGCCAGAAAGTCTGTGTTGGTGGAGTGAAGGATGTGTGCCACCAGGCTGAGGGATCTACACTGGAGCCAGGAAGTGATGCTCACGGTGAAGATCAGGGCTCCCCTGACGAGAACAGCAGCCATTCCCAGCGACAGCAAGGCCCGAGCTCCTCCTCTTCCGAGAACAGTCAAGTTCACACCAGGAAGACCGCCCTCAGCAGGCTTCTCTAGAAAACCATGATCTTCCCCTCCAGTTCCCTTTTTATGGTTATTGGTAACAATCTTCAGGTGGATCTTCTATACATCGACCACGCTGATTCAGTTTGGCTGGGTGTTATAAGTTGACCATTAGTTAATCCATGACAGTGAGCTGATAAATATATTAATGAACTTGCTTGTGATACTCATTTCACAGAAATATGTATAACAAATCACCATGTTCTATACATCTTGAATATGCACAATTTTTAATGATACTATAATAAAGTTAAAAAAAAACAACATAAAAGCAGTTTTTATGTCAAAAGTTGTTAAATTTTATGAAATGAGGCTTATACTGAGCACATCTTTTTGATAATGTTTTTAAAAGTTTGATAGTATGATTATTAAAAAATTTTTTTTGGTACCTTGCACTTGTGAGGACCTTGTACTTGTGAGGCAGGCGTGGTGCTGCTAAGCTAAATCCCTGACATTCTTGATACTGTTTTGATCCCAACCCTGAGTAGATCTGGATATTTCTTCAAATTATCTTCTTCTTATACTTACTGATTTGTGTGGTTTTTGTCACTCATGGCACATGACTTTATTCTTCTTATTGAATAGTGTTTGGATTAACCTGTGTCTTATGCTTGTATAATTACATGTGCTGCCGGTCCCCTTAACTGTGTCAAATATGCCAGAAGCCTGCCCATTGCGTTGACAGGGAATCTACTCCAAGATGCCTTCCCATACCCACCCATCCCTATTCAAAGCAGGGGTCCTACTCATGTGTTAATACTGAATAGTTTCTCTGATGTGAAAAACTAAAAGTGTAAATCAGGATCAAATTGTATAATTGATAATGTGAAATAGGAAGAAAAGAAAAGGGCTAAAGGAGTAGGGAAAGTAGGAAGGGCAGGGAAAGGAAAGAAGGGAAAAGAAAAAATATGAGAAAAGAAAAAAATGGAAAGAAAGTCTTTGTAAATAGGGAAAGATGGAGGGAGTGAAGGAAGGGGAGGGGAATGGGGAAAAAATAAGAACCAAGATATATCATGTAAAGGTACAAGATCCCAGTGATGAATGTACTGCATACTAAAAAGTATCAATAAACTTAATGAAAACAGAGCAGGGGTCCTTTTGCTTCTGAGCACGGTCTCCTGTTCTTGGGAGTCTCACTTGTCTATTCCCTGGCATTAGATATTATTGTATTAATATTATGTGAGCCACTTTGATGGATTTTAACTTGGAGGTGTCAAAAACACTCCTTCCGGAGCTTTCAGAGTTAATGAATCATAGATTTATTTTATTGGGTTTTAGAAAGCCGAAAGCACTATCAAAACATGATAATGGTAAATATTAAGTTTGTGCATTGTGTAGATATCAGAAGGGATATTCGTGGTTGTGAAGTACATGCTTTAGTCTAAGAAGTCTTGCTGTTTTGTTTTTGTGCTTTGATGATTGTATTCAAACTGATTTGTCTTTTGCTCCTCATAGTCCATGCTTCGAGGGAGAGGAGGTTGCTATAAACACACATTCTACGGCATCGAAAGCCATCGCTGCATGGAAACCACCCCAAGTTTGGCCTGTGCAAATAAATGCGTCTTCTGTTGGCGGTAAGTAAAGATGCGTGACCATGGTGACCAGGCACATGTGTGGTGACCTGGGGAACTCAGGCTTCCTGAAAACTTCCATCGTTTTTGAGGTTAAGCCCCTCTTCCTTTCACAGCAGTATGTATTTATGTATTTGGTTTGTTTTCTTGACCAATTGTATAAAGAGGTTGTTAGGAGTTTTAGTGTTTTTGTAGTACTAATTTTTAGCCTATGAGTCTTATTAATCATTATCTATCTACTATCTCTGTTTTCTAATTCATTCATATACTGCTATTTTTAAAAATTCTTTTTCTAATTTAAGTTGGATTTTTTTGTTTGTTTGTTTTTTGTTTTGTTTTTTGAGACAGGGTCTCACTATGTAGTCAAGACTGACCTGGAACTCACTATGTAGCCCAGGCTGGTCTCGAACTCACAGCGATCCTCCTGCCTCAGCCTTCCAGGTGCTGGGATTACAGGCGTGCACCACCACGCCTGGCTAAATTGGATTATTAAGGTCTTTAATTTTCAGACTTCTATTAGTCTTTATAAATTTTGCTTTAAGAACCTCTTTACCCACAGCCCATACATTTGATAGTATGCTAATTGTTCACTTTTAATGTGCATTTATTAATTTTTGTGTGACTTCTGTGTAACATGTGGGTCAAACAAGTACTTATTTTAAATGTTACATATAAGTTGGATTTAAGAGGATATATTTTTGTTAGTTATTTTCAACCAGCTTGTTTTACTGTTATTGGATATGGGCTGTACAATTATAAAATTTATTGGGAAGTACATTTCTGTCATATGTACATGAAAAGAGGGTGTATTTTTTAAACTGTTGGCTACTGATACAATAAAATTACTTTCTGTTACTAATTACTTGTTTTATTATTTAGAGTTCCTCTTTATCCTTTTTTTCCCAAAAGTGCCCCTTTGCTCAAAGTCTGTGTTGTTTAATATTAATATAGCTATCTATACAGGCATTCCTTTAGTTATAATACTTGCCAGGTCTCTATTTTCCTTCTTTTATTTATCCCCAACCTTGTATTTTAGGTGTGTTTCTTATAAACAAGTATTTGGATCAGTGATTTAAAAATCAACTTTATTGCATTTTAATTTACATATAATGAAATGTTTCTATGTAAACCGTAGTTCAGAGAGTTTTGATAAAAGTGTTCACCCGTGGAACTATAACACAATTAAGGTACAGAGTATTTTCATTATCCTAGCAGTTCCTTGTACCTACTTCTAATCAGTTTTTCTCACCTCACCCCAACCCCAGCGCCAAAATGATTTACTTTCTGGCAGTCTGTACCGGCTTTCTTTTTCTGGGCTTGTGTAGCAAAGCAGTAATGTGTAGTCTTTTGCTCGGTGCGAGGATTTGAGGTCATCCCTGTTGCTGCACACATCACTCGCTCCTTTTCATTGCCCAGTAGCTGTCTGTCCTATGGTCTTGCTACAGTTTGTTTTCCATTGCTTGGTAGGTGAACATTGTAGTTGTCCCCAGCTTTTGACTAGATTGTGAATAAAGCTGCTGGGAGTACTAGTCTGTAAAATTTTTGTTGATAAATGATTTCATTCTTCTTAGGTAAATGTCTGTGGGATTGCTGGATTTTTAAAGTTCATTTGTCTTATTTATAATGATTATTGATAAATATTAACAAATTATCAGTAAATATTTTTATTCTCTTCTGTTCTTTCTTTTTTTCTTCCTTTTGCTAAGGTATCTGTTTGGATGTTGGAGACTTTAGATTGTCTTGCTGGAAATACAAGTTCTGACTGTTTTCCATCTGTTGTATGGGTCACTTGTAGAACCTGATCTTTTACAGAAGTTGGGAATGTTTATGTGAAGGAATTGCTGTGCTTCTCTCTCCCTCTTTCCTCCTATTTCTTTCCTTTGCTTACTGCTTTGCTGATTCTCCGGCTCCTCTGTCCACTCTTCTGTTCTCTGCAGGCTGACTCACATCTCCTTTACAGCTCATTACTATGAGCACTGATGACTTCTTACTAGCAAATCTACTAGAAGTGTCTTCAGTATTATCTTAGTGAACTGTAGTGAAGAGTGCTAGGTAAGAAAGACTGCCTCTACTGCTGGATTCAGATGTCCCAATCTCTTGTGGTATCCTTGTCCTGCCTTGACAGTTTTTCTCAGTTTCTCCATTAGCTCTTCAGTTAATTCATTAAAAAAACTTAAAAATTATAGTTATTAACATATACTAATGGTGGGCCAGGGATTTAGCTCAGTGGTTCTGCCACCTGCCTTGCGAGTACAAGGACCAGAGTTTGATCCCCGGTACCAAATAAATAAATAAAAAAACTCCAAACCCCCAAACATATATTAATGGTACAAATTGAGACTTACTGTGCTATTTCCATGCATACGTGTATCATGTCTGCCTACCTTCCACTCTTGTTCTTTCTTCTGCCCCCCTACTCTTCTTCCCACTGCCTAAAACTCCCGCTTACATTTTTTACGTGATTTATCCTTTCTGATTTTTGCCTTCTATTCTTCTGTGTTTGATGGTTAAGAGTGAAAATTTCGTCTTTGGATCCAGTTTCCTTTCTGAATTTTCTTTCTCCATTTGCAGTTGCTGATTGCGCCTGTTCTATTGGATGATCCACGGGTACTTTGTGTCTGACTTGCTCACTGTAGAATTTCTTAGTCTGTTTTAACTCATTCTTACTATTTTGGATAATGTTGCTATTTTCTATCTGATAGCTCAGTCTTGAATTTTTTCCTCCATTTTCCGACTCACCATGATCATTTGCTTGTCTAATTCTCTTAATTGTGTTTCAATTGTTCATTATTTCTCCTTTTAACAATTACAAAGATGATATAATCTGTTACAGTCTGTGCCATTCCTTAATTTGTTTTTATATTGGTGCGCCACTTCTAATTTTTATTTTGAAATGTCACTTTAAAAAATGCTATATAAAAAAATAAAAAATGCTATATAATTTTGATTTTAGGGTTACAAAAAAATTTTGCTATGTCAGCACCGTAACAAATATGAAATTGGTGAAGAGTGAGGATCAATGATACTTTGAATTGGTATCACCTTAACTGCAGGAGAGGTAAAATCTTTGCTCATGCACAGTTCCACCTCTTCCTCTTTATGTTTTTGCCACAAACAGCAATTCTAAACATTATATGCCTGTTAACATAGGTTTATAATTGGTGGTCTTATACTGTACCTTTTTAAGAAAAATCATCTAGAAAAAAACCTGGAGTTACAATAAAAATACAATGTTTATATTTCCCAGTTACCTTTATATTGTTCTTTATTTTTGGTGTGCTTTGAGTCTTCTGCTGTCCTCTCCTTTGTGCTTGAAGGGTTCCCGTTAGCATTTCTTATACAGCAAAACTGCTAGCAGTGAGCTCCTGGCAGTTTTTATCTTTCAGTGTCTTTTTTTTTTTTTTTTTTTTTTTTTTTTTTTTTTTTTTTTTTTTATTGGTTTTTTGAGACAGGGTCTCTCTAGGTAGTTGAGACTGACCTGGAACTCACTTTGTAGTCCAGGCTGATTTCGAACTCATAGTGATCCTCCTGCCTCAGCCTCCTGAGTGCTGGGATTACAGGTGTGAGCCACCACTCCCAGCCTTCAGTGTCTTAATACTACTTTCATCCTTGAAGAATAATTTTGCTTGATGTAGAACCCTTGATTTTTTTTTCCTTTTAGCATTTTAACTGTGCCATGCTGTTGCCTTCTGGCCTTTGCTGAGAAGTTGATGTTTTCTTATTAAAGGTCTCATATGAATGCCTCCCCTTGTGCTTCCTTTAGGGTTCTCTCTCTGTCTTCCAGCAGTTTGATTATAACTTGGTTTAGTGTGGATCTCGTTGAATTTATTCCACTTGAAGTTTGTTTTGCATTTTGTCTTTTATGTAATTTGGGATGTTTTCAGTAGTAATTTTTTCCAGATATTCTTTCTGCTCTTCCTGCTGTGGGACTCCATTATGCGTGTGTTGGTGTACTCGATGATATCCCATATCTCCTGGGACTTTAATCGTGCTCTAAAGCTCTGTTAAATTTTCTGCACTATTTTTCCTCCTCAGACTAGGTAATTTCAAATTGACTTCTCTTCAGTTTCATGGATTGCTTTTCTTCCTGTTCAAATTTACCTTTGAAACCTTTCAGGGCACTTCTCACTTCAGATATTTTCTTCCTACCTCTAGAGCTTGTTTCCTTTTATCATTTGTATCTCTTCATTCGTTGAAACCTTATTTTCCTCAGTTCCCTCAACTCTTTGCCCATGGTTTCTATGAGCTGTTTATGTATGTTTAGATAGTTGATTGAGTGTGTTTTTCTAGTCTATCTGATTGTACTTTCTCAGGAAAGGTTTTTATTAAGGTCTCCTAGAATGAGTCATACTTTTCTCATTTATTTTCCTGTTTTGTAATGTTTCATTGAAATCAAATTGATTATCATGTTAACTCTGGAAATAATTCTTGCCATTCTTCAGGATTTGTTTTTGTTGCTTCCTCTGGGTTTTTCTAGTTGTTTGCTTATTGAGTTTTCTAAGCCATATTTGTGAGTAGTCTATTTGTTTTTTATTATCTCTCAGGCCTGTCCCATCAGCTTAGTAGTCAGATAGTGCTTTGACAGATTTTTCTTGAACTCATGGAGCAAAAGGAAGAAAGGAAAAGAACCTCTGGCAGTCACTGCAGCCTGTCTGTGTTGGGTGTGCCTTAAAGCTTAGGCAGATCATTTACAGCTCTGTCTTAGTCAGCACTTTCTACTCTGATGAGTTGAAAGATCATAGATGGAAGTTTAGGGTCTTTTCAGGTCTGTTCTTAGCCTGTGTTCTGAGCTGTGTGAAGCTCGTTAAGTTTCCAGGGGTATGTAAGCAATTTTCAATGTCTTAATTCACCTACTAGTCTGTCTCCTCTCACCTTAGCCATAACCTTCTGATCTAAGCACCAAGCACCCAGCATCAAGTTGTTTATCTGCCTACCACAGTGTTCTTCAACCCCAACTCTGAAAAAACTTTTTTTTTTTGGTACTGGAATTGCTTGGGTCCTTG